TGAGACGCCCCTCGAAGTGTTCATCACTGAACGGCACCTTCGCTTTGCTAAAATTGTTGCCGTCGTTTAGAGCAACTCGAGCTGCGTCCGTCAGTTGTTCCCACATGATTAAATCCTGGTCAGTATGAAAAGTCCATGAAAGGAGAGCCCAGATCCATCTTGAGCTGGAATCGGAGAGATGTGTTGGAGTCATAGATATAAGTGCGGTGATACCGCCGACCCATCGCTTGGAAGCCAGCAAAATTGGATGCCACTTGTCTGATCTGCTTGTAATACTTTGTGTCAGACTTGGACATGGAGACCCCACCCCTTCAATCTTTGGCATATCCAAATCATGATTGTTGATCCACACAACGACACTTATCCAGTCATGGCGGTGTGTAGGGAAACCCGTCCAGAAATCTTTTGGGAAGTACCAAGCGTACATGATGGCCCACAGATCTTTGTACCACCCAGCTCGACCGTAGACTTGAGATCCCTTTGGAGCGTACTTGCATGCGTCATTTCCATTCGAGCCCTTCAGTCCACCGGTGACCTCACCGGCAGTATTCACAGCAGGAAACGACACGCACAACCCTTCTCGAACGTACAGTTGCGGCTTGAACGTGATAGCGGCTATTTCAGATGCGTTGACAGGCTCGGGCTGAGGAAAGGGTTCAACTTTGTCGTGATCGACGGTCGCAGTAGTACAGACGACCAGTGCTGCAAAAATTGTCGCGATGAGAGCTGGTGGACTCATCTCGACACGGAAAATGAGAAAATGCACTCTACATCGAATGGGCTAGCTAATGAACAGCACTATCGGTAGGAGAAGAAATATGCACGAAAGAGAAACGTACACATGCTTATGCTATACTGTATACAAGGAAGTGTTTTAACATAATTATTACGATTAAATTTGATTTTGAACTAACTCAACTCGACATCTTGAGTGTGCGTAAGGGGTTTATCCATTTAAAAATATAAAAGTATTCTAAGTTAATTAAGAGAGGATGTCAATTAAACAAAGAAAACTTTGAGCCGGCGGAACAGCTCCATTTTTTGCTGCTACTACCAATATGATATTCTCTATAGCGGTGTCATACTTACATAGCAATTAGAGCCCTTAGTGAATGTTGATAATTTATAAACAAGTCGCAGTTTTTTTTAATCGTAGCTTGATATTATAGTGTTTTGAACAGCCATTTTGTGCTGAAAACGTTACTTTGGGATCCGAGCATAAGAAGTTAGAGTAGTTTTGTGTCAGAATTACTCACCTCCTTAAATCCAGAGAACATACTATGGGATGTGTACTCTGTCGAATCGATTAGATCGTAAAGACCATGTACGCACGCACGAGAAAAGTGCATAAATATTGCTTTATTAATTTTTCAGCTTGTTCGGTCTTCATTAATTTCTTTATGGAAAACTGCCCCTCACTCAAATTTGGTGTTAGAACTTTTTTAATATTTTCTTTTAAACCAATCAAGAGGGCACTTTTTTATCGAGGTTCGGGTACAAATTCTAAATCTTCATCGCAAAAACGGGTAGATGCTTCCAATGTAGCTACTGAGAGAAAGCTTGAATCATTCGCAGCGCCGAGTTAGAATGGCCATGCTTCGTCGAGGCGGTCCTCGAAGTGTTCATCACTGAACGGCACACTCGCTTCTTTCCCAAAGTTGTTGCCGTCGTTAAGAGTGGCACGCGCTGCGTCCGTGAGTTGTTCCCACATGATCAAATTCTGGTACTCGCCATCCCAGCGGGTAAAACCCATAAATGTAGAGCCAAACCCAGCCTCATATTCGAATCGGAGAGACGTGTTGGAGCCATTCGTTGGGGCACCACTGAAATAAGATTCCTTTAGTTTAAGCTTCTTTTTGTACTTCGTGTCGGACTTGGACATGGAGACCCCTTCAATCTTGGGTATCTCCAAAGCAGGATTGTCGATCCACACAACGACACTTTTCCAGTCATGACGGTGTGTAGGGAAACCCGTTGTAGTGTGTGGCAAGCAAGGAGGCGTACCTCAACGGCAAGGAGGCTATCCTGAATCAAGAACCCCATCCCAAACTACAGCGTCGTCTATCAACATGAGGTTGCAGTCTTACTGCAACCCTGGTGCTCGACTCTCAAGGCTATGCCTAGGGTGAAGCCTTTGGTCCTGATAGGAGTAGGAGGAGTCGAGTAGAACGCAGGAGCAGGAGTTAGTCAAAAGGAAGCTCACTTCTTAACTTGCAATCAACAAGCACCAGCATTTCAGCAACGCAAAGCGGTAACTACCACAAAGTATACTTTAGTCCTAAGGGACCGCAAGCATGGCAACCAAGTCACATCAGTACGAAGCTGATGGGGACACAGTGATGAAGTCTGTAAATCAACCGGTATTCGAGTTCGTCAAGGCGCCGTGTTGAACGACTGGAGTCATGATGCATTGGTCAAATGGAACCAAGCACGTGACCAGTACGAGGAAACTATTCGGCAACGCTGTTTTGAGAGTCGTGAACGACCCGAGACCGTGATGAAACCAGTAAAATCCTCAATCGACCGGAAGTTGCTGAAGGTGGTATGCCTCTACGAGTTACGGAAGGCTGTGGATAACGTCAGCAGTGAGGAGCTCCTCATGCTGATTAAGCAGCGCATTGGTACTGTAAAGAACGAGCAGATCCCCGACTTGGACGAGTTGTTCAAGAAGAAGCTGAAGATCGACTTGGCAGAAGATGATATCGATGCTCGTGTACTACGCTACTACCGTGATTTCTCCTCCATTATTGAGAACCATGGTTTAGGAAAAATACTTGGTGTCGGAGACCCAGATGCAGAGGGTTTTGCGGATCGTATGAAGTTACGATGCACCATCTTAATCGACAACCTTGAGCCTCGTATGGTACGTGATGATGTCAAGCGACATTGCAAGTATGAGTGCAGAGAGGCGAAGAGAAACGATTTCATGCTCTTTAACATCATTAAAGAGAAGGCACGGGCTCAGCACAAGTATCACTTACTGTCGATGGAGCACAGGTCCAAATCTGGACCTAACCGAAGGTCTAGCCATAATGAAACGAAGACTAAAACCGGTAGTGGAGAACAGCATACTGCTGTGGAAGCCCGTAGAGACGGCACTCAGCGGAATTCATTAACGACTAATACTGGGTCTCAACCCCAGAGAAAGGAGTCAAAGCCACCCAAGACTGGCTGCTGGGTCTGTCAAGGCTCGCATTGGCTTCGTGACTGTCCGACAGCGACGGATGACGACAAGAGACGTGCTGTCGACAAGATGAAGGAAATAAAGGACCGGTCACGAGTTAAGGTGGTTCGGACTTTGCCTCAACCAGGGGAAGTGATGATCAACGAGCTCGTGGTCTTGCCGTATTGTGCTGACTCAGGATCTGACTCAACTGTTATCCCTCGTGCAGTGGTCGACGAGTTAGTTGCACTTGGTAGCGGTGTGGAGATGCATGTCCTACCCTCTCCAATTGAGGCTATCGTTGCTGGAGGTTCTACAGTTACCTGTTTTGACTCTGTTACGGTGGATGTCGTGCTGCAAACGGCAGCGGGTACTGTGAAGCTACCTGACGTGACCTGTTTGGTTATGGAGGGTGAAGAGACCGATTTTCTTCTTGGTAACGACACGCTCGTCTCACTCGGAATTGATGTAAACCAGCAACTTGAACAGCTGGCGGGGGGTTCACTTAGTGAAGATGTGGACCCATTTGAAGACGATGGATGTGCAGATCTCGAGCTTTCTGGTTTGGAAGTTCGCAGTAAATTGGAAGATATGGTGGTCGCCGCTGGGAATAATGGTTTTGACGCTGACTATCTCTCTTTTCTTCACGATACCGTGCTGGAGTATGAGGATATTTTTCGGATTGACCTGGGTGCTGGTCCCCCTGCCGACATTGAACCACTGCGAATTCAGTTGGTGGACGGAGCTGTGCCTTTTAGAGCGCGTTCACGGCGCTATGCCAAAGCCCAACGCATTTTCCTTCGGGACTACACGAAGCGGCTTGAGCTGATGGGCTTTATTCGACAAAATAACCAAAGTCATTGGGCATGTGCAGCTGTGCCTGTGGCAAAACCCAAGTCACCAGGTGATTTCCGGATGACAGTCGACTATCGCCCTGTAAATGCACTGACCATACCGATCGCTGGAGCAGCCCAGGATGTGACGGATTCTGCCGACGAAGCGGCCGGAGCTTACGGTTTCGCGGATTTCGACATGCCAAAGGGATTCTGGCAGCTTCCTCTACATCCTGACAGCCAGGAAATGATGAGTTTTGTTACGACCGATACGGTATGGACACCTACGCGCGTTCCACAGGGAGCGAGTGATTCGGCAACGCATTTTCAGAACGAGATGCAAAAGGTTTTTGCCGGGATGCTGTACGCCCACCTACTTGTGTGGATTGACGATATTCTCGTCTATGCGGACGATGCGCCTACGTTTATCGCTACACTTCGTGAATTCTTTTCTATTGTCCGCACTCACCGGCTGAAACTCAGCGTGAGTAAGAGTTGTTTGTTTCAGAAGGAGATCCGTTGGTGTGGCCGCATCTTCAGTGGCACTGGCATTCGCCATGACCCTGAACGCATCAGTGCGTTGCAAGCCCTTCCTCTCCCTACTACAGCCGCTGACCTCCAACAATTTTTGTGTGCTGCTGGGTGGATGCGCGATACGTTGCTCGACTTTGGCCGCACCATGCGCCCGTTGCATGACAAGTTGGAGGCGGTTTTGAGTGTTAATGGGCGAACTAAGAAACTAGCAGCCGGGGTGTTTCTTTCGTGGACTTTGGACGAAGAAGACGTGTTCAACTCCGCAAAAACCCTGCTTGGATCCTCGCAACTGTTGCATTTTCCGACGACGTCGTCCACAGTGGCCGTGTTTAGTGACGCCAGTGAACTGGGGTGGGGGCTCGTCGTGACTCAAGTGGATGACTGGGACTCTGCATTACCTGCTAACGAGCAGCAGCACCAACTTCTAGTATGCAAAAGCGGAATTTTCGACGAGACGGAACGTCGGTGGAGCATCATTGAGAAGGAAGCGTACCCGATCATTTGGGCTGCCCGCAACCTGGGCCATCTTCTCGTCCGCCCTTCAGGCTTCAGGCTGTTCTGCGACCACAAGAACCTGATCTACGTTTTCGCACCAACACACGAAGTTAAACGTCACGTGCGTGGCAAATTACAACGGTGGGCGTTATCTCTCACTGGTCTTCACTACCAAATCGACCACATCGATGGTACGGCGAACGTGTGGGCCGATCTACTCTCGCGGTGGGGCTCTTGTGGTGAGGCAGGGGTGCACGTGAAGTGCAAATTCGTCACGCGTAGCCAGCAACGCATTGACGACGCGACTGAACGCCAACTTGACGAGCTGCGTCCGCGTCGAGGCGACTTTGTCTTTCCGACCTTGAATGAGATCAGCCAAGTGCGACACCAACACAAGCGGAATGCACCCAGAGCAACGGTGTGCGATCACAATGGCATCATGACTGTCGACGGAAAAATATGGATACCAGAGTCCGTGAAGGAGCTACGACAGCGCATTCTCATTGTGGCTCATTGCGGTAGTCAAGGACACCGTGGACTTGACGCGATGATGACTACAGTCAAAGACCTTTTCTCGATCAAAGGCCTGGAACAACATTGCCGGCAATTCCTGAAACGATGCCTTCTCTGCAAACACGTGAAAGGTGGTAATGTGATTCCTCGCCCCTGGGGGCCTACATACGACGCATCTGAGCGAAACGAGATGCTCCACTGGGATTTTCTTTTTCTTGGTGACAGTGTGGGTGAATGCAAGTACCTACTCGTAATGAAGGACGGCCTTACTCATTTTTGTGAATTGGTGGCTTGCGATTCGCCAACAAGTGTCGTGGCAGCCATTTCACTCATGGATTGGTCGAAGCGTTTTGGTCCGCCTAAAAATTTGATTTCCGACCAAGGAAGCCATTTCAAGAACCAGGTTGTACAGCAACTTTGCAAACAGCTCTCCATTGAACAGGATCTAGTTCTAGCCTACGCTCCGTGGATCAACGGTACTATCGAGCGACTGAATCGAGATGTGCTGCAAGTTCTACGTGTTCTGCTGATGGAGATGAAGCTGGACACGCATGAGTGGGAATATCTCGTTCCGGTAGTGCAAGGGATTCTGAATCACACTCCAGTGGCTTCATTAGGCAACCGGTCCCCTGGTGAGCTTTTCACCGCGTTAACTAGACCTACACCATTTGAGACTATCGTAGTTGAGCGCAACGGCAAGGCCATGATGGTGACTGAGCCGGTGACTATTCCTGACGAAATGGTGGAGAACATGCAACGAAGTCTACAAGAAATGCACAAGGAGGTGGTGGACATTCGGGAGCGACGTCGGTTGCAGAACATGAGCCGCTCTAATGGAGTACCATGCAATTTCACTATCGGTGATTTTGTACTGTGGTCAAGGATCGACTCTCGCCTTTCGGTAAGCAAACTACTCGCTCGCTGGGTGGGACCATTCGAAGTTGTCGAGGAGCACCCTCATTCCTATATGATTCGCCACTTGGTGAGTAGCCAACGCTACATGGTGCATGGATCCCGGCTCAAGTTCTACCGTGACGGAAGCCTGGGCACCAGCGAGGAACTCCTGGCCCATGTCGGCAACCAAGGTATGGTCCTTGGCGTCGAAGATTTTAAGGATCACCGCAAGACCCAACATGGATGGCAGCTTCTCGTGTCCTGGGTCGGTTTGCAGAACGAAGAAGACTTCTGGGAATCTCTTCAGAGTCTCTACAGTGATATACCTACGCGTGTGGAGAATTACGCAGCTCAAAGTGGCGACAACGAGTTTGTACAGGCCCTGTCGACCTTTCAGCAAAATACCAGAGCCTAATTCGACGTGTAGGTCAAGTTATGGATCAACTTCAACGTGTTGCAGTGCAACTTGACCTGTAACACTGTCCCGTCTCATGTATGGACTGTTTTTTCGCAACCGGTGACAGATTTCCATCAGTCGTGACATTTGGTGACATATGTCTTTCTGACTTGGATTTCCTATACTTGGAGAATTTTCAATACAAGAGGCTCAACATTCATATCTGCATATCAAGACGGTACTGGTATGGGTTCTTCGGGGGCAGTGTAGTGTGTGGCAAGCAAGGAGGCGTACCTCAACGGCAAGGAGGCTATCCTGAATCAAGAACCCCATCCCAAACTACAGCGTCGTCTATCAACATGAGGTTGCAGTCTTACTGCAACCCTGGTGCTCGACTCTCAAGGCTGTGCCTAGGGTGAAGCCTTTGGTCCTGATAGGAGTAGGAGGAGTCGAGTAGAACGCAGGAGCAGGAGTTAGTCAAAAGGAAGCTCACTTCTTAACTTGCAATCAACAAGCACCAGCATTTCAGCAACGCAAAGCGGTAACTACCACACGGATCCATCGTTTCCAGTTCTTACCGCCGAAAGCAGTGACACCAGCCCACACTATCCAAGGCCTTGGACCCTTTATTCTTGACCTCGAAGGCGATTTCTGAGCTGAGTTGACCCGCGAGTTCAGGCACGAATGAATAGCACATAGCTACGAAGATCAATCCAACGGCTCCGACCATCGTCATCTTCGGGTTTGCATCGCAAATAAGCCAGAAGCGCCCTTTATCGTACGTCTATTAGAGAGTTCGCTGCCAAGTTCGGCACCAACCCGATAAAGACCAGCCAGGTCGTCCACACAATACACACGACATCGTCGGAATTCCAGGCACACCAAAAGCCTGCGTACACGAAGATACCGCGGTCGGCGATTGGACAATTATCATGACATGGTGAGTCCTCGCCCAAGCTGGCACCAATATTCGCTGTGGTGTTTGCAGTGACCTTCTTCTCTGACACGTCTCATACGTAGCACAAATCGGGCCAGTTACACAAATGTTGATATATTTGTGGCCTTCCACGCCGTTCTTGAGCTCTTTAATCGTAGGTCCAGAAGGGATAATTTAGTGTGTCTTCGCTTTAGGTCTTTTGTCAGCTAGTACTTTAGTATCACTTTCGACACGAGGTCTACCTAAACTGTTCTTGTTGAGCTAATGACTCATGATGAACGGTACTGTAGTGCACGTGCAATGTGCGAGTCGCACCTCCGTTCAAGTCAATAAGACTTGTCAGAATCAATTGTTATTTTTAGCCTGTAAAGGTTGCTTGCCTGTTGAATAAAAATACTTACACAACAAGGCTTTCGAGGAAAGCTGGCATGTAAGATTTTTTATTCTCACGAAGTGTTAGCACCCGAGAAAGAAAAGTTCCAGTCTTATGCCTACATGTACTACAGTGTAAATGGTCGAGAGCATCAGTAAGATGCAACGCTAATAGCTTTTTTATAAAGGAACCTTAACATTCTGTTGTGTCGTGTCAGTAGACTACTATTAATACTTCGAAGTACTACAGTACTGAAGTAGTGTATCGTCCACTTCGGCAGTTCAAACTGTCCGTCATTACTCAAAAGCATTTCTCCTGTGACACATACGTCTCAGGTAGAGATTTTGGAGGATACGAGGTTCTATTAGACACATTACCTCTACAACGAAGCCAATGTCGATCTATACAGTGCTACGCTTCACACCCCGGTCGTCTATTGGTTGTATTTTATGCCTATATATTACGCGTTGCTGGCTTTCCTCAGCGCGTTTTGAACCTGTTCTCACTATTCGGCGCCGTTTTCGCCACACCCAGAAGTTTATAAACCTCTCTAGTATCCAGTTGAGCGCTATGCCAGCTATTATTATAAGCTGAGTGCGTTGTAAGCTCGTAGCGATATCCTCTGTGTTTTTGACCTGTTTGGCTTGTATAAGCATTGACGCTAGGACGTCGTACCATGCGAGTAGTGAAGCGAGCCCGTGGCGAGCGGAACGGAGGGGAACGACATGATACACTGTATTTGGACGAATCATAATAAGCCATTTACAGTTCTATTAATATTAATACCAGTAGTATATCAACCCAATTTGCTGGAGGGGGGGGGGATAAAGGGCTAGAAAGGATAAGGGGAGGCACAATATTATAGCGGTTTAAAGGTTTTACATTGATTTTTTTTGAACAGAGCTCCGAATAAAGTTACTACAGCACAACGTTTTGTACATGTATTAATACCAGTCGAACAACCCAAAATACTTTAACAATAACCTTTTTCCCTACTGCTTTAACGTCTTTTACTCGTGCGTATCCATTTGGTAAATTGTGGCCTCGTGAGGCAGCAACATACCCAATATAAAGGCAACCATGTCTAAAAGTGTAAAAACGCCCTTGTGTGGAAGACTTCGCAGCTGACTCGCACATCAATTCATTTTTGAAGGTACGACAGCTTCTTGTAGCAATAAATCCTCCACCATCGTACTCAATGCAATCACATCATCTTCGTACGAGTCAATCACGAGATTAGTGAGCAATCCGATGCCATCTTGCGGTAGTGACGTCGAGTAATCCACTCGTTTAGGCACAATATGGACGCAGTTGCGCATGACGCAGCCCGAGAGATCAAGACCCGAGTCTGGTGGGATACGTTTTCCAACCAGTTTCGTCCGTGTACAAGCCAGAGAATTCCTCTTCTCCGCGTGATACACATCTCCATACAATAACCAGGCGATCCGGCTCCACAAAGCGGCGCATGACCATCAAGGCATCCAGCCACGTATCCACGCCACGTCTCTTGCATGGACTGCGGTATTTTACTGCAATCGTCTCGTCCGTCTCGCCTAAATACGAATGATACCGGTTTTTACTATACTGTCGTTTAACCGCATTCCACATCGCCGAGGCCGCTCGTTCAAAGTGGAACGGAAGGATGTTGACGTCCTGAAGCTCTGCGTAAAGTTCGTCCTGGTCCGCTGCCCCTTGTCTCGTCCTCACATACCATGTCGCTTTTCGAAGCGAGTCGTCCACCGACGTCTCCATCCCATTCTGGTGGAAAACGCCATCTATCTGAGCGTACAGACCGCCCAGTTCACTCAAAAAGAGCTCGTACATACTGCTAGAGTCTTGGCTACCGAGACAAAGTCTCTTTTGTGGCCTCTGATTCGCTAAAAACGGAAACATTCGGGCGCTTATGCAGCACTTGTTCAAGCTTCTGAGCCAGCCGAATCTGCCCCTGTAGCACTGTTTTGAGTCGTCTGTTCTCTGCTTCGGAGTCGTCTCGACCTTGCGCTTGTCGTTCGGCAATTCGCTGCCAAATGCGAGCACATGCGCCTCCGTCGCCCTGTTTTCTGGGATTTGAGGCTGTTGAACTTGATGTGGAGCGTTTGCCGACGTGTAGAACCCTCAGTTCCCTTTCTAACTCGACGACTTTCGTACGGAGATATGCTAGTTCGTTCTGGAGACGTTCACGAGACGGATTTCGCATCTTTCCGGTATTGGGATCGGTGACTCTCTTCCGAGCGGGGTTTCTCCTTTGTTTTAGCTGTTTTGGCGGTGAAACTTAAGTTACTATGTCTTGAGACACAGCGTATTTTTGAACAGGAGTTCCAAAGCCGTCGGACGCGTCTAAGGCCTTCAAAAGCTCCGCTGCTTCTTCAGGTGTTAAGCCAACAGGTTCGTCGATGTTTGAGGCAGTGCAACTAGGGCTACAGACGACGGATTTAAGCGAGGAGGGGCTCGAAATGCTTGCGGTTGTGCTGGCTACGTTGAACACGACAGGGAAGTCGTGTAAGATATCTATGTCGTCCAGGAGAGGGATGCATGTCGACGGATTTCGCTGTTCGTTTGCGTCGTGCGGTTCCATATTCGAAAAAATATCAAATGTACCTTATTATCGGTACGTAAAGGATTTATCCAATCAAAAACGAGCTGAAAATATCTTGGCCATTTTTAGAAATACATGTTACCGCGTAGCTTTGTTCTAAAAATATTTAGTATAATTTGGAGATCGGTGTTCCCAGAAGAAATCTGTGGACGTATATGACAAAAGGAACAGCGGTAGCGCCAAGGGACAACAATGGCATAATAACAAGCATATTCAATCCCCGAGTTTCTGGACTACAAAGTGTTCTCAACGGCGGAAGGCTCACCCAAATTGTACCAACCGGACCGACAGCTGAAGAGCTAAAACTCGAAAGCAAGCGAATACTCGGTCGAGCACAAGATGGAGCACTTTCTTTCAGACAGGTCTTCGGTCTTTTTGGCCTCCCTATGCTATTAATTTGCGTCGCCTGGACGTCGTGGCTCATTTTCCTGGCGCTCACCCCGAATACAGCAGCAAATCTACTCATGGATACAAACTCATACGATAATGGACAGTTTTGGTTATTCAACGATGCAAACCCGCAGATAATTCTAGCTGGAGCTATCGGTTTACTGCTTGTGGACTTTTGCTATGTACTGGTGACACTAAGGATGCTCTTCTGGCGTGACAAGTTGTTTGGCTCGGCCTATCAGAGTCAACCAGACAATCTTGATGTATCCTTCTCATGGGTGAAATCGAGTGGCCCATTACACAAGCGAGTCAGGCATCTGTGGGGTAAACTTACTGCACGGAAAGAACCGAAAGAAATGGGTAAGATTTGCAAACATATTTTAGTATTATCGCTCTTTTTTTGTTTATCACATCATTATTTTTAAAATCCAGAACGCGTTTCTCAAGATTTTCGATCTAGCAATGGAGACAGCCATGCTCCGCAGAGTGGAAGCCCTGCTAGTCTCACGTACGGCTTCGCTGGATTTTTATCCCTCAACGCGTTATCCTGCGTCATGAACGTATTGATTCTCAGCATTAACCGAAGTATTCATCGACTCCGTGTACGTTCGTATGGCTGAGTTTATCTAAAATTCCTTTCTTAATTTACCTGTCACTTTTTATTCTCCAGGTTTGACTTATCTGCTGCCGTACTCTTTCCAATCGTAACTCTCGTGTATTGTTACTACAATTTCGACGTGGATCGAGAAGTGTATCTCACGTACCTGGAGAAACTCCCACCTGGAAGTTTTGAACATTTGGCGCGTTCGTTTGCAGACCAGTCCGAAATTGCCTTGTTTCGCGTGAATTTTGACTCTCTTCGCATCGATTTGCTGCTGGATTTTGCCTTGCGGATCAGTATGAACTTGACTTTTTGCTATCGTTTTGAGCGCGTCTTACAAGCGATTGTGTGGACAAGACATCATGGAATGATCATGCAAAGACTAAACCCAACCAAAACAACACCAGCGTCGCAAAATTCGGTACCCAAAGGCCTTTCTGCACTTTTTGTGGCAATCTGTGTCATCATTTTCTTATCGACACACAAAGCCATTGCAGACTCAAAAGCGCTGTGTGTCCCACACCCAGAGTGGTGACAGATGGGAAACCAGCGACGAGTGTTGTCCATGCCTCATTCTTATAGATGTTGATATCGCTCCTAAAACATACCAGGAGTGGAGAACTCCCATAGACGCGTATGAAAAAATAAAGACGCTTGCAGAGGCTGGTTTGCTGACGTCACTTCAACTGATCAATCGACAACTTCTTAAGTGGCCTGATGAACTCCAAGTTATGTACGTTATTTTGCAAAATAACGTAAAATTATTTTGGTAAACGTATTATTGCTTTTATTACAGTCAGATGATTTATACGAGTACTCAGCATATCCCGGTGTGGACGAAAGAGCTGAAAAGCCTTGAAACCATGTACGTATGAATAGTTTTTTTTTGTAAAAAATGCTAATATAGTATGTTTCAATTGTCACATTCAGTCAAGTCGAAGGGAAATACGGCGATTTAAACTTGCTCGATCTTCCCGATGATCTTTTTAGCGATTTACCACAACTATCGATGATTCATTTCGGTCTTCACGAAAACATCGACCGCATTCCGCCTCTTACTGGTGTTCCGAATCTACAGAGCTTGTCCCTAGCGTGGATCACCCAAGTCACCACGTTACCAAGTTTTGAGCATGTCCCCAAACTCGGTCGACTGATACTGTCCCTTCTGCCAAGTATGGAGCAGCTTCCCGATATGGCACCTCTACAAAACCTCGTTGAGTTTGTCGTGCTTCGACCGAACCACTTGTGTTGTAATGGCTTTCTTGGAGCGTGTAATTTGAGTCATGTCTCCTGTCAGAGTTACCCATTATCCCGATCACCAGCAGCGTCTTGTTTGAAGAATGATTCAAACTCTCGCCTTCCTACCACTCCGTATCTGGGTAATAGCGGCACACAAGAAGCTTTCGAGAGGTTCGCACCTTTAATTTGTCAGCCGTCGTCATTCGATACTGCAGACGACCTCAGTTTCCCCACGAAAGAAACAATAGAAATGTGCGAGGGAAAGCCATATCGACAGTGCTTTTTACCAGGCAACAGACCTGGACTCTGTTACAACACGCAATTTTAAGTGTTGTCGTGTCTCGCTGATGAAAATTATATTGAACTACGACGGCTACAGATCGAGAAAGAAGTCGGTCCAAAATGTGATCCAATTGAAGAAAAATGGCTCGGATGCAGGGGGTAAGGAATATTGTAACTAGAAGGTGTTCTCAGCGGGATGGTCTTACTGCAAACATTCTAGCTGTATACGCTCTAAGATAAAGTCTCTGACATTCTTGAGAGCACTCTTTGATTCTGTCGCTGTTGTAAACTTCTAGATGGATACTGTATCATAGTTCTAGCGTTAAAACGTAAAATGTCAGCAAGTTTAAAACACACATTAAAATCTGAGACAGTCATTCTGATCAAATCAATAGGGATAGGTTTACATTTGCTAACGGCCACGTTCATTGGCCGTTAATATCAATTGTTGGACCCACCACCATTCCCATCTGTTTCCCCTCTCTCGCATCACCTCGCTCGCTACACCCCTCTGCTCACGCGGCAACTTGGCTCAGCATCTCCGCCGTTATCTTGCGCGTATTTTAACCCCCGACTCGCCGCCAACCCCCGCGTATTAGCTGATTTATCGACCATGGAAGGAAATCCACCAGTGATACCAACAGACTTTCTTCAAGACCTCGATTTGTGGCTCACACAGACCAGTGCAGCGCCTCCCACTGCAAGCAGGTATAGCTTAGAAGCAAGCGCAGCGAATGCCGCGATCTCGAGTCTTGAGGCTACAGTATTGGCGCCTCTAGCCCCAGTCACAGACACCAACAAGTTTGCCAGTTTTGTAGCATCCTTAACCGACGACACGTTGCCCTGGGCAGCGCTAGCAGCGTTTCCAATAGCCAGCGGCTCGACGACGTTGCCACCGCCAGCCTTGAGGCTTCCGACGCCTCAAAAAGCGGCAAAAACTACAGCTCCAAAGCCTACAAAAGCGAGAAAAGGCAGGCCTCCTGCTGTCTCTAAAGTGACGGGGGCATCAGCTCTGGAGCCCTCAAACAAGAAGGGAAACCCCAATAAAAGCACGAGCCAGAGACAGAAGGAGGAGCTCGCGTACTTACGCGAGAAGACCGAGCAACTGGAGGTCGAACTGGAGACGTTGAAGCAACATAATCGAGAGGAAGTGGAGCGACAACAAAGAGAGGAGGAACACAAGCAAGGACAGGAGAGCGTAGGTGTCTCCACAGCTATGGTAGCCACCACTGCGGGTGCGTTCGGAGCTCCTATCCAGCCCGAAGTCTCTCTATGGGAACGGATAGCTAAGCGACAGCGAGAAGAGAAGGCGAAGGCCGAAGTGGAGAACGTCAAGCTCCGAGAAATGGTGCAGAGTCAGATGCGTCTTGTCAAGAGCTTCGAGCGTTTATTACGGAAGCGACGAGTATGTGTTTTAAGAACTTTTTTGAAAGGTTCTAAATCTGAACTGACTAGATTTTGTAAATGTCTAGATCTGGGAGCAGCTGCAAGAAAGCAGCAACCAAAGCGGCTCACAAGACCAGAACGAAGAAGAAATGCTCGCGTCGATGCTTCGTGACGTGGACGCGAGATATCCCCGAGCAGATTCGGTATTAAACGAGCACGGTTTAGGCGAATCAGACCCCGCCGTGGACGTGACGGAAGACGCCAACATGAAATACTCACCCGAAGACGGTATGTATTTCGAGTATAAGGAGAAAAAGTACATGCCGTTCGAGTATAAAGTCCTCGATGACGTCGTGTGGCGGTCGTACGGAGAGGGAAAACTCAAGCTGGAAGACAGCCAAGTGACGATCCTTAGGAGCACGGAGAACGTCTTTTACTCGAGAACTCTCACGCCGTTAACTCGCAAAAGCGCCACCTCAAACGATAAGCCACCAGGACACTCGCACTCCTTCTCAGTCGTGAAAAGATTTCGAGAAGAGAGTCGCGTGGTGTATGTTTGGAACGCGAACACCAGTGTGATGCGTCCGGGAGATGAGGGATGCTCGCCTGTGCTTTTAGTGCAGAAAGGGTACGCGGTTATGGCGTCTGCTACACTTCCGGATGGTTCTTCGGGCTGCGCTGTGCGTAGTTATACGAGTTCCGTACCCACGTTCCCAAGTAAACGTCCGGAAAGCGATTCGGAACAACAACAAGAACAACATCGGGAAGTAGGGCTCCTTACTGAAATGGTGTTTGCAGCCTATCAGCAGAGTCGCCAAAGTATTAACCAGACTCTGGAGAACCTCGTGCTGGACGAAATGATGGCGAAAGATGCAGCATCGACCTCTGCACCGACAATACCAGACACTAATGTCAGCGTGTAAATGATTGTTGTGGATGACGTCGTAGCGAGGTACACGTATGCGTACCGGTAGTAAATATTTGCCTTTATCGAAGGAGACGGGGATATCGTGGATAGTACCAATCGTGGCTTAAAATTAAAAAAAAATATTTAGAAAAGCCACCTTCGACGAAGCTACAGTTCACACGACCATCTACACGTGGTTGCTCAGCAACTGCTGTGCCTCGTTGAAAACTTATCTATGGTGGTGTCGTGGCGAGCGCTCATAATCATCGTACTTTGGAAGACGAGACTGCTCAAAACTGAGGGGCGCAGGACCGGTGTTCCGCCAAACGAAGCAGGCAAGCAAGTAAATGCTTACTCATTACTTCAGTCCTGTACTGTACTATGATACAATACCGTTCGAACGACGATGCCACACTTTGCCCCACGGTAGAGACTATTGATTTATTAGTCTCTGTCCATGTGTCAATACTAAGGGGAGGAATGGGTGTCATGAGACTGCGACAAAGGAGCTTAAATTATTTTTTAATACAAATCTCCAAAAGTGGAGGACTTGACGTGTATTCTATAACCTTTCTAAACCGAAACCCAGACCATCCTGGGCATTAACCCTATAGGGCTAGCGACCATGCTTGGTCCTGGGTATAAGCCCACGTGCTTCACAGTGTGAAGCGTGTGAAGTTCACACTCGGATCTTAAACCACAGGGCTCCTCCGTATTTCGTACTTAATGAGGAAAACTCGTTGGCACCAAGTAGCTCCCTTGTGTACTTGCCCCACCAAAAAAAGAGAAGGGCACTGGAGTAAGGAGAAAGAGCTATTAACGTTAATAAGACTCTAAAGCTGAGAGTCTAGGATAGTACACGGACATAATCAGACTTGCAGCGACAGCGCATCAACTTGATAGAGGCAATATTGGCGCCATCAAGGGGATAACTTATCCCCTTGTACTCTGATGAAGGAAGGGCTTATCCGATAAGCCCTTCCTTCATCAGAGTATGCGAAACATGATCCCGAAGATCTGGTCCACAAAGCTTTCGTTCGTTCTTGGAATTTTTGGCTGACCATCGTGCATGTATTGATAACGACTCCAACGACGGCTGAATATGTTGACCAATCTGGATGATTGGATGTCATGACTCCAGATCTCCAAAATTGGAGGTGTCGGCCTAGTAGGACCGAGCAGGGTTTAGTCTTCGTTTGCCCTCCGCGTGATATGCACGGATCTTAAACTATTCATGTTGCTGAGCGATCCTCTCCTGCCAATTCCGTACTTGTAAAGTACCTGTTTAGAACTTGTACTGTTGTAAGCAGCGCGACCAGCATGCAGTGTAGTACGTGTACCGGTAGCTGATGTTGATCGGGTACTGTGTAGGTTTTCAGTAGAATGGCTTTGAATTGGCCATTATTTATCGCTGCGCAGGCGACGTGGCACAAAAAAATATAATTTAGATCCGATAGAACGTCGATCATTCGCTAAAGAAACAAACCTATTGCTTTTTCTACGTTTTTATCACCTCTTCAGTTTATTACTTAATGAACAGCTCCGTTTTAGTAACTTATCAATACCAATTCTGCGTCGAGGTGGCGGGTATTCTTCTGAGAGATCGTCTTCCGCCGTTCTGTCAGCTGAAAATGTCAACTAGAAATATAGATGTGCTTTAATAATATGCAGCAATTGAACATGCCGGCCGTCAGTTTTGCACTCGATTGTTACACACTCGGGTTTGAATCGTACATACCGGTATACCAATGTGTACAATTTATTGCGCAAACTAATCTTCTAACATTACATGTAATACATGTACATGCATTTACTAGCTCTAGAAACTTCAAGAATCGGTGACCTCGCACCCGCTCGCCTTAGTTGGCGCCATAGCTGCGTCGCCCCGCCCCGAAATGTGCTATTGTGCGTTTGAGCGTGTTACACACCGTTTCAAACGGTGCTTTTGCAGCTAGCAATGAGCAACACCCTTAAATTCTAGAGTGACAATTAATGTACTTACACACCATTTTATTTTCACAGTTTTTGCTGATTAAACGCAAATAGATTGCAGCCAGAGAAGAGCTGAGACCAGTCACTTTTCAATGGAGTAGGCTTGGTATGTTTCAATACGCCTACATAACCACATGCTCCTTCAATGGAGATGGAGGCTCGCCACTCCTTTGTGAGTCCGACAGTGGAAGGGGCTTGAAACCACATTGTGTTTAAAACAGATGGCATGAGAGTGATTCAGTCGAGCATGTATTAATATGGATAGGCCTTTTTTTTAAAAAACATATGCAGTCGCAATAAATAGTATTAATAGTAATGTAAGTACACGCTCGGCTTTCCATGTCAGTGCAAAATGTAATATTTATTTAGTAGCCTGCAAGGATCCACAAAACTCTCAGCGCTACATATCTCAGCTGTTTTTTTAGGTTGAGTAAGTGGTTCACAAGGGGGTCCCCGATTTTAAGGTTTTCATTTTAAAATCAAGCATGAGTTATATTTTAGTATTTTATCGAGTATAACCCGGAATTGTGAAAAGCAATATACCCTGTAGAAATAATGCGTCTGTGCATGCTGTCCGCATCGTTTACTGAGCTACTGGTAAAATAAAAAAAACCGGAAAGACGGGCATTAATTCGCTAGACCGAGAACTCAAGCTTAGCATCTATGTGGGACTTGTGATGATGATGAAAGGTGGCCTTCTATTTTGTTTTAGATCTATGTGAGACTTGTACGAATCTCCTAACGTCGTACAGTACTCGTTATTGGTTGGGGTATTATTAAAGTAATACATATACTATTAATACATGTAATAATACTTTGGTATACCTCAAGTAATAAGTTATGTTTGTGGTACGCTTTAACGCCGCATGCGCAATCATGTGGGTCGTGGCAGCGGATAGCCCCACCGGCAGATTTTCGATCGATCTCTCTAAAATGATCGTGAATTATTGAGAAGTGAGAAGGAAACCCAGCGAGCTGAAAAGCGGTGGCGGCAAATGGATCAGCGAATCACTAATCATATTCGCGGCAGCAAGTGCACTTCGATTGTTAAATGTGCGATTACATTCCTCTCCCTGCTTTCGAGCGGAATCGAAAGTGTGGTATTTTACTCGAAATGTTATGTATACACTAGCATTTTCATTCACAACGTGAACAACCATTTCATAAATTAAAGCACTGTACATGATTGTGTCCCAAACTACATGTACTGTACTAGAACTCAAGAGTTCATTATTCTAAACACGCCAGTGGCATCGACGAATCGTCGACGACGATCGACTATCGATCAGCCAGGCCAATGTTAGCATGAAGTTTATGTGACGAAATGAAGTTCATGTTAGCTCTGGCCTGGTACATGATGAACCGTTGGTCGTTGTAGGAGTTAGGGATAAATACACAGCAGTGCTGCTTACCGGTACATGTATTACACTCTTGTCCAAGCCGGACGGATCCTCACAGGGCCGCAGCCTTGCAATCATCTTCAACGATGGGGGTGAGACCGCTTCGCAATGGGTTTTCGTACACGTCGATGTCGATGCCCTGGCTGGACCGACCGTCTCGCGCTTAGGTTTTCCGGGCGTCCTTTCTCCTGAACAACCCCAACATGTGCTGCCCACGATTTCTCGGAGCCCTGCGCCAGTCACCTGTAAACCTGCCAGGCTGGATTCCAAGAGGAGCCCCACAGTCTGAAATTCGCCTCGCACCCCACGCACCAACACCACATCTTATCCAAAAAAAGAAAAAATGATCTCAACGTTGTCAAGCGACAGCGACGACCTGGTCTCGCTATTCGCCCATGACCAACAAATTCTCACTCCCCACCTCGCCTCTTGCCTCGACAACGGCCTCCCTACTCGCTCCGACGTCATGAGTCCTTCAAGCACCGAGCTGTCGGACGATTCGACGCTCACCAACGACGACCTTGTCGCTCTCAGCGACCTTTTTGGGTTTACGAGCTCGGGATCGACCTCCACCACTACTGCCAAGCAGAAACGAGCAGCATCTGCCCGTCCTCGAAGCCGCAAACGTCCTCGCAACACCAAAGCTGTCTTGGAAGACGGCATCGCTCTGCCCAAGTCGCAGCAACAACGCCAGAAGCTCGAGATCGAGTGCTTGAAGAAACAAGTCGTCGAGTTGCAAGCTACGCTCCAGGATCTGCAGACGCGAAAGCTCGAGCGAGAGCGTCGGGAGCAAAGGCAAGACGAAATCAAACTCGAGAGAGAGAACGAGTGGGCGGGCGTTGCCATGAGCCAAGTGGCCGCCGTCCAACAACTAGGAGAACAGAACGAGAGGCTGCGATGTCAAGTGGCTACACACCTCGGACACCTTCAGCAGCTCGAGCAGATGGCAAGGGCGCGGTACTTGGCGGACGCGATGCCCGAACCGATACAGTACCCTATGTCAACGTATTACCCTGGATCGTGCTAGACGAGATTACTTTCATGTAAAACGTAAACTAATAGACACACTTTCTTTAGTACATGTACCTACTGTTTGCACAGTCAGTGCTCGCATATTAATACCCACAGCAGTACAGGAACCGACATATAAGTCCTTAACAAAGGGTTAAGTGACCCGGCACAAGCAAACAATGTAGGTGTACGGCGGCATGGGGTCGGTCAAGATGTTTCTACTGGTGAGACTAGGAATGGTCTACAGCTGATGTGTCCACTTGGCTGTGCCACCTGACTCAGGTGACCTGAGGGTGTGTTTGAAATTACATTTACAAGTATTATGTTTGTCGAAATGACATGAAGTCAAATGACATACACTTAAGTGAAGTCCAAAGAGTCTCCTAATAGCGGCCGTTGGGAGGCGACTGCTGGTGCAGAGATAGAAATGGTCAAGCCTTGGCTCCCGGTGATCAAGAAGGATGTTCCCGGTTCAAGAGCGACCCGAACCGGCACTGTTGCAGTGAGACCGTCGGGCGTTGGGACTAATCTACTCGCAGCTCTACGTCAGAGAATCACACGGAGACCCAAACTAACAATCACTGTAGAGACTCCAGCCGAAGTTCTGCCGACGCCTTCACTGCCAGTGTCATCCTGGGAAAGAAACCAGCCAGTAGCTCCCAAGCCTCCGCCCGGATTTGATGAAGAAGACAGTGAAGAATCTGACGATGGGGATCTAGATGGAGCCACAGGCTTGAAGAAGAAGAAAGAGAAGGGTGAACGACGCAGTCTTGGCTTGAGTCGATGGGTGCCCAAGTTGCTGAATCCCGTGGAGAAACATCGGGATCGTGTGCACCACAAAAAAAAGAAGTTCGTGTTTATGGCACATAAACGTCCTCCAGCCATATTCACCGACTCGAGACGACCATTCGTCGAGCTATTGGCTCGAATTCTGGCATTTCTAGCCCCTTTTGAGCCGGCACGAGTGACTGCATACGTCAACAAGTCGACTGCTGTAAGTGTGGGAAAATACTACGATCTCTACTATCCTCCTCCTCGACCAGGAAAATACCTTGTACATCGAATTTTAGAAAGTGTTTTTCCATCTAAAGTGATGGAATTACTACCAATCAATGATCGAGTACGTGCCAGTGCAAGCTGCAGGTCTTTCTATGAGGCCTCGAACGCGCTGCCTCTCGAGTTGGACGGTGTACGCGCCGCCAAAGCGTTTCTGGCGAGTTACGAATTCCCTCGAACTTTTCGCATCCACAAACGCTTTAAAAAAACTCCGGCATTATTTTTTAACGAAGTTAAAGCAGAGGATGCCGTAAATATTGTTCAAATGCTGGAGCGTGAAGGCGATGACGATCCCAAAGATGGTAGCGACTGTTTTGCTGCCGTTCAAGAAATCTCGTTCCGGAAAGTTAGTGGGTTGAGTGCTTTAAAGGGAAAATACTTCCAGCAACTCCTTCAGACGCTGCTCATGGACCACGTGAGCTCTCGCTTAACCGCGTTAGAAATGACAGGTAAGGACCGTTATTTGTTAAATTAAAAAAAAATTGGGTCAAGAACGCACTGAAGTATCGTGTTTGTATGGCGAAATACAGAGCTGAAACTCGAGGATCAGCAGTTTAAACAACTTGCTAAACTATGGCAAGACGCATGCTTCCCACGTCTCCAGCGTCTTAGCTTGGCTCAAAACGCATTCAGCAGTCGATTCGTGAGAGACTGGAGCTGGAGCTTCAACCACGAGAGGTTTCTGATACTACAAGCAATCGACGTGTCCAGTACGTGAATTCCTTTACCCTATAAGGAGAATTTGATGCTGATATCATAGCTTTTAGACACTGAAATGTCGGACCAAGACCTTCAACGCTTCATTGCGTGTCTCTCGACAACATCAGCACTTCAACATCTCACTCTGTCGCATAATTTGTGTTCATTTGCTACCATTCAAAAGTTGCGAGGGCAGATCGAAGGAAGAGTATTGATAGGTCTCAGAGAGCTGCACTGTGTGGCCATTACGGCAGATGAAGTGGCTATGGGCTATTTGCTCGAGGTGCTCCAGATTAATCCCTCCTGTTGCCCACATCTGCATACACTCGACGTGAGTGGCAACCCTCTCAATAACTCCAAAGCAGCGACTCAATTTGCGAGGATCTTCACCTTGTCGTCGGAAGTATTGACACTCAACATTTCAAGTACTAAGTTTAGTTATTGTAGCTTGAACGATATTCTAACGTATTTTGTCCGAATAGGTATGCAACTTGGGGATGAGGGTCTTCGAACAATAGCCACGGCTATTCTGCAAGGCCCAGAATTAAGGATCCAGCGTTTAGACATGTCAGACAATGCTATTGGGACATCTATCGACGTGTTCGCTCGGGCACTAGCAGCGGGCAAGCTGCCACATCTTCGCTCACTGACAATTGCAGGTGATGTATGAAAAACAAAAGTTGAGGGATTTTGTACTAACTTTCGAGTTCATCAGATAATGAGCTAGGGGCGTTGGAATTCGAGACGTTGGGCTCTGTATTGGCTACTGGTTGCTGCTCTCGGCTTCAAGCTCTAGATCTGTCAGGTAAGTGCAGATCTTATTAAATATGGTTAAATTCTTACCAATTCTTCGTGTTTTGTCAAGCAAACTCTGCACGTGGAGAAGGCATTACCCGCTTCTGCCCATTCTTGGTATCACCTCCAGCACGATACCTTTGGTCACTCGATCTGAGCAGTACGTTCTTTTATCTAATTTTTGGGTTGACCTCTCCACTTTCCTCATTTGCATACGCGTTTAGACAATGCCATCCCACACCGTGCACTACTTCGACTCAGCGAGACGTTGGCTCGTGGCACCTGTGAGCAACTCCACGAACTCAACTTGTCGTGCAACCCCGAGCTGAAGGCCATTGTGTCCTTCTTGGAACTCATTCGACGCAAAGCTTTGCCCTCTCTCACCATCCTGCAGGTAGGATACGCTCAGAGTCGCTGCGAAGGCCACAAGCTCGTGCGAGACACACTCAAAAGACAGAGTGTTCAACAACTCGTACGTTTTTGATGTATTCATTTCTTTTAAAAAAAGCTAAATTATTTGGCAATGTACAGAGACGACAAAAACAGCATCATTTCGAAAAAAACTTATTAAAAATTCAGTTAGAAAACGATGCCAAGGCAGAGCGAGACCAAAAACGATGCCAGCGACAAGCGCAACGTCTTCGTGAGGTCTACGACCGTCTCGAGAACGAAGCGGATCGAGCTCTACGACGTCGAAAGCAAGTGAAAAAGTCCTCCCAACTGCACATTCACCAAGAGATAACGCGACTAAAGCAGCAACGCAGCAGTGCTCGCCTCGACCGAGACCCTCACCTTTGACCTTAAATCATGTATGTTATATAAACTTTGAGAGTTTTTAGAACAAATATTATATCGACAGTACCACACTGTCATTTACAGCTCGGAAGGACCCGTAAACTTATCTGCTAGCTTGAGCAGCACGTTCGTCTGTGCAGCCATCATCTCCATCTGCTTCTCGGTCGTCTGTCGTTGCTGCTCGAACCGTTGCTCCTCCAGTTGGACTCGTCGTTCTTCGAGCTTGATCCGTCTCTCTTCCACCTCCAACTCGCGTTGACGCAGTAGCACTCTCGGGTCGTTCAACAGCTGAGTCAAAGCTTGTCCTGTCGGTGCAATGGTATTCTCAGCTCTGATCGCTGCTTCCTGGTCGGCCATGGTACTAAAGTCCGTCCTGCCGCTGCTGGTCAGTCTGGCTGCATCTTCCAGAGCCAACTGGGCCACAGGAGGTTGCCGCTCCGACTCCTTAACTGCCTTTCGTTTTCGGTGATCTTCATCCGTCTACAATATCATAATAGAAATGTGTTATTGTGCAATATCACAATAGATATCCATTATTGTCATATTTTTTACCATTATTTGACATTGCATGAGTAGCTTGGCGCGCTCAGCGTTCATGGCAGGTGTGCCCGCGCCTCGCAGCTTTTGCAGCTTCTCTGAGCCGTACGCCTCCATGAGAGCCAAGTAGCGACGCTTACAGGCTCGCCCATCGTTCGTTGACCACGGCACAATACGCTTGAAGGCTGTAGCCACCACTTCCCACGTCTTGGCCATATCGCCGTGGGAACAGGCCCACGGTTTGTGGTCGATCACCTCACGGAGCAGCGCAATGTCCGTCACCGTCGTGAAGCGGAAGGCCTTGGCACGCTTATCGTGAATGCGCACGCTCCATGGAACTCCGCTGGCGGATGGAGAAGAAGGAGTCGCTTCGATCGAGTCGGGTTCACTGTCTCCCATCTTGCAAATTTCACACTTGAATTGTGGCAATTTGCCCTCCCCTTTTTGTGTAATTAACATAATTTTAAAAAGGCCTCTTGTGAAAACGCTCTTTTGCAACAAACAAAACACTTTTTTCCTACGGTAATCTGCAAGATAATTTAGCACACAATTGAAAAGCTCACTTGCTCTCTTTGGCGCATACCCAGTTTTATTTTGTGTCCGGGTACTACAGAGCTACTGTACATGTATCAGGTCTGAATGTTTGCTGGCTTGGCCGTCATCATGCGGCAGCGTCAACAAAATGCGTTACCGCCTCAGACCTTGGACCTAAGAAAGGTCTCACTTTCGAATCTTTGCGTCGACCACAGTATATGAACCTAGCGCAATGGCACAAGGGTCTGGCGATAGCAATGCGATACCGGGAAGCTTGCAGTTGCTGGACAGGTTTCTTGAGGACATGAAGCAGCTTGACACGTTGCCAGCAAGTAACAGGGTGCAAGTGAGACGCGTTGATCACGTTGTCAGAGGACAAGAATATTCCAGTATACCAGTGCCGAAAAAGAAGACTCATTCGTGGCTTCGTCGAAAAGAGGAGCTCAACAGACTACGGCAACAGACAGAGGAGATGGAGACGCACGTTGCATTTTTACAACTTAAGAAACGCGGACAGCGCGGGGTTACGCTCGGATCGAGAGACACAATGACCGCACGGCTAGAACAGAAGCGTTTGCAAGAGTCTCAACAAGACAACAACGCTCTTAAAGACCAACTCAGAGTTCGCCTTCAGATTTTAGCCGCGCTACAAGCTGCGTTGTCTGCTAATAGCTTGCAAGAGCAGCTCCCAAATATTGCAACACCTGCAAGCCTAGAATCGCCGCAGCAGCTCCAGATCGACGCAAGGTGCTCGAAACCAGAGTGGACCAGCGATTCCTAGAGTACCACACTATACTGGACCAACTCGAGCAGTTTCCTGCTGCTGTGGACGAAGTACAAATGTGCAGCGAAGCTGCTGCAATGGTGTATAAAAGCGCTCAAATACTGCCGTTCGACGAAGAGGCGACGTCGAACGCCATGTGGAGCTTCCTCGACGTGCGCAAGATGCCGCAGAAGGTCTTGCGCATTGTTCGACGGTCACAGGACACGCACGTTGTTAAGTCTCGCTTCATGCTGCGTCTAGATCAAGATTCCTATCTGCTAGCTCATACCGACTCCGTGATGAAGCGGTACATCATATTGGAAGACCGAGTTATGCTTGGCGAGTCCAGTACAAGTTGGTCTGCCTATCGAGGAGACTCGCAACTGTGGAGTCACCAGTCCAGGGAATCCGTGTGGTTTGTCATTCGCAAATATCTGCTTAGTGCTAAGGCGTCGAAGAGTCAGCAAGTTGGATGCCACTTTACGGCGCATATTCGAAGCGAAGCTGAAGCATCAGGTACAGCGCCGTCCCTTCACTCAGTTGTGATGCCGTTCTTCCGAGATGTTATGGATTCACACCGCCAAATCCTTGAAAACTGGCTATGGGATTCGATGCGAGGCAAAGGCTCACTTCAGCACAAGTGAAAAGAACTGGAAAAAATAATAAAAGAAAATGTTGTAGCACTGGTATTTTTTTCAGCGTGAATCACAGCGACGTTTCATTTACAAATGAAAATTTAGACTGGGTGGAGTCGAAAGCGTTTTCCAACATTACTTACATAAGTGCCGGTGTACATGTATTTCGGTCCTCAGAAAAATATTTACTGAAAACATTTATTTTTTCTTAGAATTTGTTTTACTTATGTCTGGCCATAATTTGAAAGTTTATTTATGAATGTAATGTATTGGCTTCCTCCGCTTTACTGACAGTCATGTTTGGCTACATTTTGATAGGAAAATTGTGCTTATTGTGAAAACCGATTAGTTTGTCTTGCATTATTTGCATGCAAATCGTTATTGTGGTGTTGACAAAAATGGTCTGGCTGCGGTAATAAAACGGAGTGCAAAGTCGTATTAGAGATATCAAATCGGACTGCGGCAGAGAGTGCACCAGGACTCTCTAGAGCAGTCGAGATAACGGAGAGAAACGGTGATATGTACGCAGCGGAATTCCGGTGGCGAGCAATTGTGCTGCATTACGCGTACAGCGTGCCTTGTGACCAAGTCGGGCGGATTTTCGGTGTGTCAGGGCGTACCGTGAGCCGGTGGTATCTGCAATTCAAGCAAAACGGGCACGTCGATTCTGGAAAGCAGCCCAAGAAGTCTCGCCATAATGCCGAAATGCTTTCGTTTGTTAGCGACTACGTTTCTGGGAACCCGTGCTTCTACGTGGAGGAGTTGCAGGAAGAGCTTCGCCAACGATTTGGTCACAATGTTAAAGGTGTATCTGCAACCAGTGTACTGCGAATGCTTCGGTTTGAGCTAGGGCTGTCGCGTAAGGTACTCGAGCGACGTGCACGTGAAGCTGTTCCGCAGGAAATTGAAGGGTTCATGGTGAAGACTTCGAGCGAAGCGAGATAAAAAACCAATATTCGCGTGTATTTGCCGTTGATATGGCTGTTATGGCTCCCTTTACTCTTCTTCTATAATAGGTCTTCGTCGACCATATCTTCCGTCGGTTCAGCTGGGACGTCGAATGAGGAGAATACCCCTTCAGCTAGTAGGTTGTGATTCGGTAAGCCAAGAATGGTTCGTAGTTCACGCACGTTAAACGAAAGCTGTAGATCTGACGAGCCATTCAGCTGTACAGTGATCGTTTGCAGGTTGCTCTCGGTTCTTGTAGGCGTTGGCAAAGGTCGCATTGAGTCAAGATGCTGCATCTGGCGAAAAGTTGCATTATCTGGTACGGATGGGGCTGTACCTTCCGGCTGTCTGGCATGGGTGGTCTCCCAATAAGTACGGGCAATAGGTCCGCCAATAGATAGCCATCAATTGCACGGGCAGCGTCTTGGATTCTTGACACTGGTGGCCTTCGTATTCCTGCAGCCTGAGTAGTTGTCTCTTTTGCAGCAAATACAAACAGCTTTACAACAAAAGGGCCTTTGTTTGTCCTGCACTTCTGGTGATGACCTCTTGCAATATCTATATAGTGCTTCCAGTTTCCAGGTGTCAGCGCAACCCACTCTGCCTGCTTGGCCCCTAGACTTGGCTTCAAGTACATTGCTGTGTCGTCTCGCGTGGTTTTGACTTTGTATAGCCGCAGAGCAGGACTAGCAATCTTTTCAACTTTAATCTGTAGGTCTTCGAACAGCTCGTTATCTTCGTCAAATGTAAAGTTTGGCTCCTTGATGCTGACGTTTGTTCGACTGGTCTTGGTGATGCTTCCTGTTTTAACAGATACACACACTAGAGTCATTGTTCAATTTGCTGTCGAATTTAGTTGTGCTAGACTCGGAATGCCGTCTGGGGATCGCACAAACCGACCGATTATTTCTAAATCTGGCGGCGAAGTGATTTATTAATAAATCGGCCTATGTTTTCAATCTCATAAATAGCACTACAAACGAGATCATTCATCAGTAATTTGCTACAAGCCTAACTAAATAAACTATTAATAAGACGCTTGGGATCTTATTTAGACTATAAATCGGCGGATTTGTAATTCAATTAGACAAACTAATCGGTTTTCACAATACACCGCTCACTCTAATTAGTTATGCCATGACTATTTCTAGCTCATATTTTAAACCAAGCACACTAGAATATAGTAGCTACTGAGATCTGCCCAAAACCGTTGCTTTTGTTTAGAATTGATGACTCTTCTAATTATCCCAGATTTGTGACGTATGCACGATTAATTTCGAAGCACGACTACTAAGAGTGAACGGTGTATTAATAAACAGTCAATGTCTGCCGCGCGTCGTAAATCATAAAACGTACGTGAATTTATTGAGCAGCTCATCGCAGAGCGGACCGCTTTCGATTGTGTCGTGCTCGTCTCCAACAGCACCAATTCTACCGGCTACAGGGCTAAGGCTAGCTAGTGCAGCAATCATCTCACTTACTACCACGTCTACTTCTTCTATGCCGAGTCTGGTTTTTTTGTAGCCCGCTTTTACCGTCTCATCACTTAATTTCGCCCACGTTTGGCAAACTAACTCGATGTCGCTGCGCTTTTGCCGCCACTGATAGATACGATTGCTCCGCTGCTCGTGCACATGCTCATCTAGGCCGCTATAGAATGCTTTTATAACGGCAGAGATATCACCACACCGTTCCCATGCGTCCAGGACCGCCAGCGTTTCCGCTGCTGTGATGGCGGTGCGCCTGCGTGTTGATAGCATCCCGTGGATTGGAAAATGCCAGGTGCCTAGCCCGTTTTTGTGTTGTCAGTAACAAGTGGAGAATTTCGATAAAGTGATTCGATTGGCTATAATTGAGTGTCAGCAATAAGTGATCATCAGTAAAAGCGGAGGAAACCGGTATACCTTCACGAAATTTATTGTCCTGGTTCGACAGCCACCAGATTTTCGTTGGCACTGAGCTGTCTGCAAACTTGTGCCAACGCTTTTCAATTCGCACACAGACTAAACTACCAGCTCTCGCAGCATTCACCATGTCCGACGCTTTTCTGATGTCTTCCCAGCGCTCGAGGAGCAAGTTCTCCCAAAAGCAAATTGCTGTCTTCTTTTTTAAGCCCTCCCTAACCGAAAATGGAGATCCTACTGGCCTTCAGGTCTGCAAAGCCTGTGACAAGATCCGCTAGCCCGTCCCCAAGGCGGGGTACACCAACTTGGTGTCCCACGTGCGCACCGACCACCCGCGCTACGAGCAGGAAATGGAGGCGGCAAGTGCCACGGAAACGGGTACTCTCCTTCCGTGGGTCCGCCAGAAGGCCTCAACGAGGTACGCCTGACATGAATGGGTTGTGAACGGGAAACTCCCATTCTGAATTGTTGAAATGGAGGTCACACGCAGGTTCATATTGACTATAATTCGCCTTCTTTTCAAATTTTAGACGCTAATACTTAATGTTAGGCACACCAATGTGCTTCCCGCCTCGACCAATACGCTGCGAGAGAGCATGGAGGATCTCATCAAGGCAGTAGAAGTGGGTGACGAGATGCCCGACAATTTTGGGCTGATGCTGGACGGGTGGACGCACGGATACGAACACTACCTCGCTGGCTTCGGGTGCTACAAAACCAGGGCCGGACCCAGGTACCCTCTACTATTGCTAGCGCCAGTCGTTGTGGATGCCAGGCGGTTTGACGCTGAGACTCACATGGTGGCGTTGGCAGCATTTCAGTCATTTTTCAATAAGGACCTATCTAACAGCATATTCTGGGTCGGCGATAACTGCGCAGTCAACATGCGACTTGCGCGCCTCATGGATGTACCGCTTGTTGGCTGTACAAGCCACCATCTCACTCTCGCAGTTCGAACGCTACTGGACCCGCATGAATAGGACCTCGAACAAGTTCAGTCGTTGATGAAAAAGCTGAGGACGATAACTCAAGCGGCGAAGCTGATGTAATTTTTTCACTATTGTACATTTTTAAAATTTGGTTTTTCAACAACAAAAAAATAAATGACTGAAGACACCACTCCAGCCCAAGCTGCGTCATCAAGCCCGCTGGGGTCGTACGCGATACTAGTTCACTTTTTGAGCTCCAAAAGTTTATAAACGCGGACGACGAAAACCTGGTCGAGCTACTACCATCACCAGCCACTAATCACAGACTCAAAGCGCTGCTGACGGAAATGGGTGACATCGAGTCAATTTCCAAGAAACTGCAGTCGGACGAGCTTAACCTTCTTGGCGCTCACGATCTGCTGGATGGGTTGCTGGAGATAAAATAAAGTTTCACCAACTATCTCGGTAAGGTTTGGCTTTTATTTTTTCTAAGATTATCCCCCCTTTTTTCTTACGAAAACTTACCCAATTTTTTGTGGAGAAGGGCAAAAAATAGCCCCCCCCAGACATCTGCACCCCTATTTTCTTACCTACCTACCCCCCCTCCCCATAAGTATCGGGCTAGATTCGCCCCTCCTTTCACGACCTCCACTAGCGCACCGTCTTTCTTATTCATGTGTATAGTATTTGAATGCAGTATGTGGGTAATATATATGGACCTGGTGTGAGAGCTCTACAACGTCGGTATGCAATTGTTCTTGTCAGATGGAATCGTAGACAACAGTGACAAACTACCCGCTCGTCGCGGTGGCCGTGTGGCGTAGTAGAACGCGTGCTCAAGTATGTTATGGAGCCCTCAACACTTAATCTAAAAGAGCAACAAGAGTTTATTAGATGCACGGTCCCAGAGATAAAACAATTACCTCGTTGAGCACAATTTGTAGATCTCTATGCTAATATGAACATATCTAGGTAAGTACTAACAAAGACGGCGAGAGAGGGGGAGTGTGCCACATAAAGATAGAGGCAATATATTCATACCTAGAGCAACTATCTTTTATCGACGAAAATGCAAAACCTAGAAGACACGCATATCAGCGGTATGACTGGTCGCATAAGAACACAAAGGATGTGGCTAAACTAGCTTTTAGTTCGGCTAGCGATTCTAGCAGCTGTATGTCATCGCGATTTTTTGCTTGGAAATATACTAAGGGGACCTTCGCTCAAAATTCCTTCCACAAGGCATTAGTAAAAAAACATTCTATCATAATTAAATTGTGGTTACTACCACACTGAATAGTTGTCATGGACAACGTAAAAAAATCAAGAATCGGAAAAGGTAAGTTGGTTAAATCGAACATGTTCTGCATTTTTGTTTTTAATTATGCTTTTTTATCTATTTTGTATATGGTATACACCAAGCAGAAGCCAGGTTGCTTTATCTTCCGCCTTAATCACTTCTACTAAACCCAATTGAGGTTTGTTTTGGTTTTCTTAAGCGCTGGATTCAGAAGGAAGCGAGCCTAGTGGTCCCGTTGTATCCGGAGCTTCCCGTTATATCCAGACCTTGTTTTGGATGTGCCAATGCGCATGTAGGGCAGCGCTCCACAGCTTTTAAGCGGAGCGGCTTCCTTAATATCTACGCCCACAACGGTTACGACGACAAATCACTGAGATCCGCAGAGTTTATTGCGAATCGTGAGCTGGTGGGCTCAAGTGATAACGAGGTCGAATAGGTCCAATTCAGATTCGTTTGGTTAAAATCTTACTATCTTAGTGCTCTTGCATGGGCTGTGATCCGAGTCAGGAATGTCTTCACCCTGTGGCATCATTTTGACTCTGGCCAAAATCCATAAAAACTCCCCGTGAAAATGTCGTACTGCAAAACCAGAGGGACGAGCGCTTAGCTCGTCTTTTTACACGCGCACTTATAAGCTCGACCTCTAGTCAGCTACATCATCGTCGAGCTCATCTTAAAGCTCTTGTAGATCAGCTGCTGCAGCATCAAAAGTTATGTCCTGCTGCATAGTACTGTCTTTTGGAAGAGCGAGCGGGGTTCCTTCTGACGATGGATACCAAAACGATACCCACCCAAATCGCTCTCTAACTTGAGCTTGCAGACTTGCAATTACAGTCACGGCCGTTCTAACTCTATCGGCCGTTGCTCGACGAATACCATCCGTTGCCTTCACAATTGGTGTTAGGTACACAAACACAAACTGTTCGTGAACAGGAAGGTCGTGACGAGCCATTGTCGCTATGTCATGTTCCGTGATGCAAGCTCAGCGTCGACTAAGAAGCTCCCCAAAGCTCGCTTTCAAAAGAACCTTGAGCGGGTAGAGAGCTGGTTTAGTGTGGGTCGACGGCAGATGTAGCAATACAGACATCAAACGCAGACGTCATTTCAAAATGGCAACCGGCCTACGTATGCCAAACAAAGACTTGAGCCCCGAAGCGAAGCTTGGGATTGCTGCAGCAGGAAGAATATACGCAGCCGACAAACCTAACTCTGAAGCGCCGCTTTACATGAACCAGCGTGCATGTTGTAGTCCATGAGATTCGCTTTGAGTCGCAAACAGCTTATATTTATGGCAGAATAAATGAACAAACAACACCAGCCTTCATACCCCGCTGGCCGGTCAAAATCGAAGAGCGAACGGCCGCTTACGAATGGTAATCCCTTCACAACAGAAAGACTTTCATTTCATTATCGAACGCCTCAGCAGTCGAAGGCAGCTTAACGTAGGTGCGAAGCGGGAGCAAATGACACGCAACATCTCATTTACCGTCTTCACTGCACATAACTATGATAATTCGGTTGCATTGCACCTAAGCTGCCCAGCGATGCTACGTAGTAAATCGCAAGCACCTTTTTCTTCTCGTAGAATACTCAGATCCACTTAAGCGCATATTACTTGTAAACGGCCGAAGGAAGAGGCAAATTGTCTCAAAATACTGCTGAGAGCACAGCAAATTTGCACGAAACCAGCTGTCAAAAC